AGCATTACCTTACTGGCATGAGAAATAAGGGCCACTGTACGGAAGTTTGAGCAGTCTTTCGCATTTCCCAGCCCTACATCCCACAAAATCAAGGCAAAATCCCACAATATCTGCTTTGAACTGTGTCCACACTGCCATATATTCCAGTTCAAAGCAGAAAATGTGGGGTTTCATTCAGCTGTGTGGAAGGGGCCCCAAACAAGGCTCAGGCTGCCCTTTCTTGCCCTTTCCTCCCACCCTTTCCCTCCATATCCCTGGTTGCCATTACATCCCCGAGGCCTGCTGTTGTTCTTCCTCAGGGCCTCCTCTCCTCGCCCTCCCCTTCCCCTGAGTTCTCACACATGGCCGCAGGGGGCTCGCACGGGGCCCTCGAACACCTCCAGGCACACCGGGCAGGTGAAGCGGGACAGCGGGTCCAGCGAGTTCGCAGCGGCGACAGCGGAGGCAGCGGCCCCCTCTGGGTACCGAGAGCTCGCCTCAGCCAGCGCCATCTTCGAGGGAGAGAGCGAGAGAGGCAGACCTCGACAGTTATCCCAACGGTAGCACAACAATTCTACCAAACGCGAAAGAGGAACGAACGACGGCGGCCTAAAAGGGACAACACGGCCCAGGCCCCGCCCAGCGAGCCCAAGCCACGCCCACTGAGGCCAACTGCGCAGGCGCGGCAGGAATAGCGTTCCTAATGACTGGGAGTTTGTGTGGGAGGGGACTCTTGTGTACTTTGCCCATCGGCTTCCAACTGGGTGGCACCCCACGATGCAGGCGAAACGTCAGGAGAGAATCATAGAATCAAAGAGTTGGAAAGAGACCTCATGGGCCATCCAGTCCAACCCCCTGCCAAGAAGCAGGAATATTGTATTCAAATCACCCCTGACAGATGGCCATCCAGCCTCTGTTTAAAAGCTTCCAAAGAAGGAGCCTCCACCACACTCCGAGGCAGAGAGTTCCACTGCTATCTACAGAGACACTCGCTAGAACACCTCAGCAAGCGAGAGTCCAAAAGTGGCAGGCTCAAACACAGCACCTCAACCAATGGCTGATACCAAATGAGAGACTCCCCCCTGGGCACACAGAGGACTGGGCGACTTGGAAGGCACTGAACAGACTGCGCTCTGGCACCACGAGATGCAGAGCCAACCTTCAGAAATGGGGCTACAAAGTGGAATCCTCGACATGCGAGTGTGGAGAGGAGCAAACCACTGACCACCTGCTGCAATGCAACCTGAGCCCTGCCACATGCACAATGGAGGACCTTCTTGCAGCAACACCAGAAGCACTCCAAGTGGCCAGATACTGGTCAAAGGACATTTAACTAACTACCAAACTCACAAGTTTTGTATTTGTCTGATTGTTTGCTTTGTTCTGTTAGAAATGTAATATAATTTGACTGGTTTTCCTGACACAACAAATAAAATAAAATCATATCAGGAGCGAAAACAGTTGTATTATCTTTAAAAGAAGGAAAACCCCACAAAGTTTGCAAACTTGGCATGCTATTAAATGTTCTTTGACCAGTATCTGGCCACTTGGAGTGCCTCTGGTGTTGCCACAAGAAGGTCCTCCATCGTGCATGTGGCAGGGCTCAGGTGGTCAGTGGTTTGATCTTCTCCACACTCACATGTCGAGGATTCCACTTTGTAGCCCCATTTCTGAAGGTTAGTTCTGCATCTTGTGGTGCCAGAGCACAGTCTGTTCAGCGCCTTCCAAATTGTCCAGCTTTCTGTGTGCCCAGGAGGGAAATCTCTCATTTGGTATCAGCCATTGATTGAGGTTCTGGGTTTGAGCCTGCCACTTTTGAACTCTCGCTTGC